ATAGAAGTTATGAAATAAATAAACTAAAATTAACTAACTAAACATGTACTTAGATGAAAAAATGAACTACAAAAAATTACAATTTTTTCAACATACTTGCTTTTACTTGTCTTTTTTATTTCAAATTAAAGAAACCATATCTGCGGACTTTTTTATCAGAATTGAAACGCGACGAAGGACGCACTGCTATGGAGCATTAAAATGACAGTTTTTCGTTGCCTTTTTGTAAACGTTTTTTTTTTGTGATAAAAGTAGTGGGTGTAAAAGATTCGGTCGTGAACGAACATAATTTTCTTACTTCTTTATAAATTCATTTATGGCTTTGAAGCAAGGAACAAAGTTTCTTCTCTTCTGGGTATGAATTGATTCTCCTCACCTGTTCTTTTATAAATATTGGAGGCAGTAATATTACAATTATATAATGACTGTAGTCGGGCTTAGTACTTAGTGTACTACCTCTCAATCGTCCCAATTTATTCCAATTTCTTTCAATTTCGAACGCAACGCGTTACTTAAATAATCTGCGAAGTTTAGCACATTGCTGTGAAACTTTTCATTTATAAGACAATGCCTCGACCGAAAACGAATTATGAAACAACAACATACGCCGCGACTTTCTTCTTTTTCTTAGTTTTTATTTTGATTTTTCAAAACCAAAATCAAAGTAGTAAAAATATACATTTTTTATATATATATGTTTTGGCAGACAGTATCCTTCAAATTATAAATATATAAAAATATATAAATTTTTTCCCTTTGAAATATGCAGCTACTCTAAATTTTTGTGCAATGTTTCTGGCATTTGACAATATATAATTTCATAACAAAAGCGTAACTTCATAACAAAAGTGTAACTTCATATTAATGCAAGAGATTATTGAATGCATCCCTGCCAACAGTTTCAGTAGAATTAGGAGCTGTGCAAGCGGGTACATTCCAAGGAAGTTTGAACAACTCTGCGGGCAACCATGTACAGTGTGTTGATTTAAAATCGCGCATATGTCTTCGTAACAAGAAATCAGCCATTCTATCGCGCTGTTCCTCGGTATAGTCCTCTCCGATACCAGAAGGAAACTTTCTACCATGAACCGAAGCATAATTAATTAAACGTGACATACACGAATTATCCTCCGCAACTGTAACGATTCTGTTTAGCAAAGGTTTTGCGAGTTGTTTCGTGCAACGATTTATCTGTGGTATTTGAAATATATTTGGGTAACGATATTTCAGTATACTTATAGCCAAAAAGTTGATGCGATTTGTTTTGATTTCCTTCTCATTAGCTATGATCTCATCTTCGGTTCGTCGGATAAGACTGATGGGGCCTTGATACTTTTGAACGAGTTCAGCATTATGTAAATTGCAGTAACTACGTATGGCTAGACGAACGATACCTGATAAGCATTGTGGTAGACGACGCTGCGCTAAATATAAAACATCATCAAAAGCAGCATCGAGTATAACTCCTCTCACAGCTGGATAGCATGTTGCAGCCCAAAGTGAACTGAAACCACCTATGCCAAAACCGTAAAGCACAATTTCATTGACCAGGAAACCCAAGCGGCAAATGGCAAATTGTATAACAGCGTGAATAGCATGTTTTTCTTGCTCGGGAAACGGTTTACCGGTGCTGCAGCCAAAACCAGGATGATTCCAACCCAAAACTGAATATTTCAGCGATAAAGGCGTCGTCATAATACCAATTTCGTAAAAGCTGGCATTGCCTTCTGAACAAATAATTAATATTTTACCGTTCACACTTTTTCCACGATTATTTACGAAAATTGTATCGATTTCATTATAATCCAAGGTTCGAATTTTAAAGCGCTGAGCATTCGTTTCCGCAATTAATTTAGCACGACCAGTCACCAATATAGGTCTCATGTAATTCTTTAGCAATTTCAAGCATCCTGGATATGCCATGCGTATGCCGAAAGTTTGTATTCCAAGGTAAGCAATGATTTGACAAGGTAAAGTAGTCCATCTAAAGTGGTGCCGGCCTCTTTTCAATCCAACATCTTTTCCCATCCTCTCATTACTTTGTACTCTTTTCGCATCGAAATCGATTTTCCAATAACTAAATTCAAAGTCGAACAGACGTAAGATACGTTTTCCCTCTTCTTCGGTTTTCGGCGATTTTGTTAGCTCGATGCCTTTGATCATTTTCCTATATGAAGGGGATTGTTTTCGACCCCACCCACGCATTATCACCAAAACTACGACTATTAAACTAATACTTGCACTAATGGTCACCAATGGTGGAATTACTTTTACATCAAAATAATCGTAAGTATATACTAAGGCAACTGGTAGACCAGATATAAAGAGCGTAATCTTCCACATCAGATTTAACGTTGATAACATCTGATCGCTTACATTTTCGAAGCTATTTGGTTTATACATTTTCTTATTATTGTCCATTGCATACTCCATATAAAGTTTTGGTCCAAAAATATATTGAAAAAAGTCCATTGCTTCGGTGGTTTAAGCTACTTAATCCTTACTGTCGATTTTCAAAAATAAAAACTAATTGCTTTAGTTAATTTGATTTGAGAATGCAAATGAAAAACATAAAAAAAAAAAACAAATCAAAACAAAAAAAAAAAATATTCATGCTTAACTGTCAAATTGTCAAGATAACATTTCAAAGAAACAAACGCAAAGGCCCTACACATAGCACATAGCATAGATGACACTTGACTTGAATTCATACCTACTAAACGCAAATTACCAAATCTGATTCAAGCCCTATTGGCAGGAATAGTAATTAAGAGTAAAGGATATTGCAGATAGGCACACATGAAAGAGGAACTGTTGTGTAAAAAATACACGGTTAGTCTATGAAAATAGTAAGTGTTCTATTAAAAGGAATACCCACCGCTAACTATATGTTTTTTCACCTCTGCGACAGTGGACGCCTCGCCAAAAGAACTTTGCTCTCTCGAGCCAAACAACGATCAAGCCGTTATACATTTTCGTAGGAAGTGAACCGAACTAGTAGTGATTGGAAGCAGTTGAGAGTCTTGGATAAGCCGCATGGGCCAGCACCGCCCACCTGGGTGCTTTCAACGTATCGTGAATCAATTTTCGCTATGTGTTAGGATGGAGTCAGGTAACATATTCCTTCTAGCGCCTGATCTGCTCATTGCTGCCAAGCTATAAGCGAACACAACTTCATGCCTGTATGTCCTGTACATATGGTGTTGGCGACATTTATGGACATAGCTGATAGTTATGAATTTCGAAAGACGTTTTTTTGAATCACTTTAATACTTTCATTGTTCGTTGTAAATAAAATGGTAAATAAAAATTTTGCGGTATATCAGAGCTGTTATGGGTCATTACTATACCTCAAAAAAAAAAGTGAAAGTTTTCGACAAATTATAACTTCAGCTATAATTAAAAACAAAGAACAAGACTTTATTTTAAACGTCGCACGCGTGCATACGAAAACATATAGAGGCTTTATATACTTTTCCAAAGAGTCGTCCATAAAGTTTTATCTAGCATTTAAAGCGAAAGTCGTGCTCGTAGCTGCCAACTTGATCACGCTGCGAAAGTATTTCACTGGTTAGAAGAATACTGCCTACGCTTAGGTACACAAGGTTTGTACGGCACGAAGTAGAGCAATGCGAATTTGTTTTATTTTTGGGTTAATCGGAACATATTAGGGATACCCATAAGTAACCAATCATTTTCGAAGACATTATTTTGCCTTCATTCTTTTGCAGTTTTCGGTAAAATAATCTGTGCGAAAAGTATTCCAAAAAAGTATATGTTTTGGTCACAACCCTGTCATAAAATGATAGCATCCTTACCTTCCGGGGATCAAATTTCTCAGATTGCATATTTATTCATTTTTTTGCGAAATTTAATGCAACGATGTGAAATGCATAAAAAAATATTATCTGAAAACTTTTTTTTAAATAATTTAAGATGTATTTCTTAAAGCAGATTGTAGATTGTTCAAGAAAATATGTTGAAATCCTTCTCGCGCGAATCTATTTGTGAGCAGATGACCTTTCATATATGCAAACTTAATCTATGAAATTAATTTGTTTGGCTTGTCTGTAAGTATACATTAAAGGCCTGCAAAATTAATTTAACTCATCTTTCTAGGAGTATCGCAATAAATACCGCGCCTGCTTCCTCTATGTATCTGTTTTCTTATATGCCTTTGCCGCTTTAACGCTTAAGTGATATGCAAAGGGAACAGAGTTTTCTTACTTATTTTCGTTTTATACTTATGAGAAACTTAGAAATATCGACAATAAATACTTTCACTTATGTGCGCGCCTTCTTACACTATCACATAGATTATGAGTTTCCAACACATTTTTTATGCCCATCACCGAAGGATGAGGGATACATTCATTTTGTTAAAACGTTTTCAACGTCCATTCGAAGGACAGGCCATGTAGACTGTGCGACAGAAAGTTTTATTTAAAAAAAAAAACTTTTTTCTTTTCTTTTATAAAAGCAACATTTTATTACCAGGCTCTCATCATCATCTGTTTTTTTTTTTTTTTTTTTTGCATTGTTCTCTCAAGTGTATAAAATATTTCCTTTAATGGATTTCTCTCTACGATTAAATTAATAAATGAAGAACCCATGTATGCCATGGAATTTCATTTTTATTAATAAAAAAGTGATCTGAAGGTCAGGCAAAAAGCTACATATTATGCGAAAACGTCCACATGGGGACTGTAGTAAAAGTAGAATGAATTTCGGTAAAGAACAAAAATAAAGAAATAAATAAACTTTAGAACAAGATTTAAATTAAAATTCTATTCGGTAAATACAGAATGAATATTTCTACTGCTTGTTTGTGTCTGTAAAACCCAATGTCCCATCTCGCTGCGACTTCCCTTTTTTTTTTCATTTTAACTCTCATAAATGTTACATGCAAAGTAATAAAAATTTACGAAACTCATACACGCACATGTACATGTATAGCAAGTACTCAATGAAAATAAAAACTCTCTCATGTTTGTACTTACCATCTTCAAGTGTACGAGCGACACGTGAATTTGATGGTTTACCCTCGACCGATTTGTAAAAGGGTACAATGAAAAATTCATACAACGTATATTGTAATAGGCCAGTCATGGTACAGGATGAAGCGCCTCCACCATTCAATATGGTCAGCATACGATATGCGGCACTACCGACATATGATGTCGTTGCCGTCGTCGACAATTGTATTGCGTCTGGTTTAGGGGGTTGAGTTGTTGGTGTTACTATGGCAGTGCCATCACGTCTGGCAATATTTGGTTTTAAGGCTGAAATCAATGCTGCTGACGATGAATAAGCGGCTGATGTCGAACTGGAACTACGTGCAGCGGCTATCAATGGATTAGTATGCGCTGTTATGCCATTGCCACCAGTATCCAAAAGTTGCCGAGCATAAATATAAAATCCTTCAACATATTTGCCATTGATGATCTGATAGAAACAACAAATAAATATTAAAAAAAAAAACATATATATAGCAAGAAAGAGGATTAAAATCTGTTTTTTAAATTATTACATTTTGTTGTTGTTGTTGTTGTTGTTGTGACTTACCTGCCAGGATAATTTCATGCTGGTAGAATCTATAACACTAGCGTTGATTAATTCCACTACATCACCAGACAATAAACTGGCTCTGGCTTCGCTTAAATCCAAACCACTATTGAAATACTTCTAAAGAAAATATTAAACAAAATGAAATAAAAAATAAATAAAAAATATATAATTTTAATAAACTCACAGTTCCAACAGCAATAGGTTCCGACATCGGGGACGGTAATGACAGACCGTGTGAATTTTCGGCACGTATTAGAAAAAAGTAATTAATTCCAGGCAAGAGGCCCATTTGTATGTACGTAGTATTTTGTATGCGGGTAGCAACTGGTATCCAACCGTCAGTTTCGTTTTTAGCAAACATTTCGACGACATAACCAATCAGACTTGAACCGCCAACTTTGTTACTGCGCGACCAAGACAAAGAAACAGATTCTTCGGTTTTCTCTACAACTTGAGGTTTTCCCGGCGGTCCTGGATAGGTGGACAACTCAGGCGCACGAAAGAATTTTATGTTAGGATTAGTAGGCGTATCCAAACGCAAATAACCACTCCATGATGACTTTCCATTACGATTGCTGGCTACACAGGTGTATAGACCTTCATCTTCATTCTTTTGCAACTCTACTATAGTTAAAGAGCCAGTTTCCGTTAAATTTCTGCGTTCATGATCGTTTACATCGATAGGTATACCATTCAGATACCACTGTACCTGAGGCGTCGGAGAGCCCACAGTGCGACAAGGTAAAATAACAACTGATTTTATGGGTAAAGTTTGATTAATTGGTCCCTGCTCTATAATAGGAGGAGGTAGTTCAAATTGTGTATCAACCGTAACTACGGTGCGGCTGCTTACACTACCCACTGCGTTTAAAGCATTACAAACAATAACCTTTCCCGAATCTTCTCGAGCAAATCGCAGTAACGATAAAACTGTACGTCCCTCCGATGTTAAAGACACTTCTACGCGACCATCTTTATAGCCAGGAAATAACAGAGAGCTGTTACCTTCTAACGACCAATAGATTGTTGGTTTAGGATAACCATTAGCTTGGCATTCAAATAAAACTTCATCGCCTACTTCGACTAATTGATTTTTCGGTCTTAAAATGAATTTGGGGGGAGCTGAAAACGGATGAATAAAAAAACAAAAATATGGCGCATTAATAAATAATAATTTAAAATTTATTTTGAAAGAATGTGTTGGACGAATATCCTCCGTTAACAGGTAAAACTCATTAAGCGCATAGGAATTTTTAAGGACTTAATGAGTTTTACATATCAACCGAGGATATAAACATGACTTACCGTGCACTGTTAAAATACCCGTAGCTGCTATGGAACCTACAGCATTATCAGCTTCGCAAGTGTATTCACCCATATCATCCAAGATGATATCATCCAATTTTAAGCTGCGATCTTCCAAAACTGTAACACGACCTAAAAATGTTCATAAAATTTGTAATGAACTATTTATCCGAAAACAAAGCTACGTCAATATCTAAAGTACATAAGAATCGCATAAGGTGCTATAAATATAAATGAGCTTGTTGATGGACTGATTGCGTCCTCCGGATCTTTCTTATGCATTAAAATTTCGAGTCAAAATCGCTTTTAATTTCACAAATGCAAATATTTTGCTTTTTAAAAATCACTTAAGCAATTCCTTAAGAATCAAAGGGTTTTGCCGGCAGGTATTGCTGACAGTAATTTGCTGTGTGAGACTTTTGTATTACATTGCCGTTTTTTTGGATACCAGAGCTTGCTTGCCTGCTTCTGAGATTGAATTACACAAAAATTCATCATAAAGAAGGTGCCTGCCCTATTGCACTAAAAGTGGGGGCGCACATCAATTAAAAGAGCATCGTCATAACGTGGATTGTTTAATAACTGAATTCATAGTTTTTCGATTCCTACATATATCCCAAATTCGAATAAGGAGGACAGAAAAACATTCCAAATTGCAATAGCAGCTGTAGGACGAAAAATAACGATTCTTAGTAAAATCCGCATTTTTTTTCAAAAGCCTTCATTTTCATAGCTAAAGAGAGACTATTTCATATCATTTCTATTATTTTCCATCAAAAATTTTTTTTATTTTTTTTTTTCAAATTTGAATAGAAGATTAGGGCATTAGGATATCTAGACAGGGATTGCTGACCGCTTGCTGAGCATGTGTGGCTTACAGCTAATTGACACAAAGTGTTTTAGGATTAAATGCAGAAAAAAAAAAAGAAAACCATAAACGCAGGAATAACCGCAAAAAAGTTTCATAGTTAGACAGAAATAGTCGAAAAGCATACATAGAATGTTTTGCGAATTAAGTAAGTAAGGACAGGTGGGAAAATAAAAACATTGCAAAATATATGTGCATAGTTCGCTGCGTAGGTATGAATGCATTGAAAGGTTATTTTGCAAACTTACGTAATGGCATGTTTCCACCAGATGCAGTACGACGCCACAGGACATCCGGTAATGGATCACCGCCAATGCGACATTGAAATATCACCGACGAACCAACCACAGCCGTTTGATTTTGCGGACCGCGTATTAAAAAAGGACGCACTGAGCGGCAAAAAGAGAGAATAGAAAAAGAATTTACAAACAATTAATTTAAATATTAATTTGCATAAAATAATAATTTTTTTTTTGTATTACTTACTATGAACTTTCAGGAAAGCTGTAGTCGATTCGCGCGTGCCCACTATGTTTTTAACTACGCACTGATAACGGCCGTCATCAGAGGGTCGAGCATCTTGTATAGCTAGGTTGCCGCCATCAACAATGCGTATTCGTTTATTACCAGTTAAACTCATTGTTTGTCCATTTTTACGCCACAATATTTGCGGCTCAGGTGAGCCACGCGGCGCACCACATTCCATCAAAGCCACCTCGCCTTGAGCGACACGTGTATTTTGAGGTTCCAGGCGGAATTCATCTCGGAGAACTGTAAAGTGATTACAAAAATGTCCATTTGAATTAAACTTCCAAAGTAAAAAAAGTAAGAAAATTTTTCTTTGCTTTGGTGCAAACCAAAGGACTTTTTAAATTGGCCGACGATTAATTCGAACTTGCGCCAACTTTCAGATCGACTGTAAAATATCATTTGTTTTGCATTCTTTTGAAATTTTAAGTTTACTCGCAAGCAAATCAATGCTTTTATTAAATCTGATTTGTGAGACTAGATCGAGATCAACCAGGCCTAGTATGAAATGGAAAATAGGAACCTAAATAACGTTTCAAGTTCCATGTTTCTTTATCCGATTATCACGTTGACGATCAGAAGGAAGTAAGGAAAAAAACCTAAGGGGAGTCTAGTAAATGTATGTTTAATTCGTAAACGTAATGCCTTCACCGACTAAGCGCTGACAATGGCCCCCTCAAGATTCTTTCGTATATATCGGCATTAATTTTTAAAATTTGGAAGTAATTTTTCGTTTGTCAAAAATAAATTAGTAAAAACACTATAGCGGACCATGGCTCACCATTGAACAGCTTACGCTACCCTACAGCTACTCATAGAATAATAAATTCAAAATAAAGCTTTATGTGGGAAACGGTCGACAAAGTGGTCGGATCCAAATCATATTCCACAGCGTTCGCCTTTGCCCCAACCAACTGCCATATTTACCACATTTCATCAAATTATCTTAAAATTTGCGATCTATAGGTTGAACACAGGAAAACAAGGCGGACAGATGTGCGGACAATCTTAAATCGATTCGGAAAATGATTCTGAATCGATCGATTTAATAAAGAGTGGACCTATCACAAGACTTTCTGGATGTTCCACACTTTTCCCTTCGCGATCAAAATATAAACACACTCTGCGCACGCTGGGGATCTTTCTTGAACTAACGGCGGAAATTTAATGCATGCAACGCCATATATGAATGGACAGCAACTTCAGACAGCATCTGACGAAATTTTCGAAAGGGTGTTGACGAAAGGCAAAAAAAATCCAAGTTTTACTGAATACATTTTTGAATGATTAATGAAAAAACTCAAAATTCGTATTAAAATAATATTCAGATATATATATAGTAACCGGATTCCCATATTTATTATTCATTTCCAGTTTAATAGTTATGTACGAGAGAAATGTATACAGTGCGGTTTTTATCAAACATAACTTTTCTATTAATTAAGAAAATGTTTTCGGTTTTACGATAAATAATAAAAATGAGAAAATTAATTATTTTTTGTCTTTTTTGTACTTTAAAGTCTATTTAATTATATTGCATTTTTTTTTTTTTTTTTTTTTCACTTACACGCAACTTGTAATGTGGCATTTCTAGAACGCGCTACTCCGAATTCATTTTTAGCCTGACACCAGTATGTCCCGGCATCACTTTCGCGACGTGAATGAATGACCTGTAATGTAAAAATAAATGTGAAAATAAGATAACGAAGGCATCAGCAAATTGGTTGCAGCACATTAAAGAAACTCATTAAAAAAAAAAAAAAATTTGCTTTTTTGAATATTCGGTTAAGCCGATTCTTATTCTACCTTATTCATCTATGGTGGCGTATTTGAGAGTATTTCTGTGCTGTCAGTACATTTCAGCTTATCGACGGTCTGGTTGAAGGTCTGAATTATTGTTATAATTCAATATAAATTTAATTCGCCACTCACACTAAGCTTTCCAATGATTGGAGTTCGACGGACGGACCAACAATTCGGAATCATATAATGATAAAGGTTTTAAATATCTAAAGACCGTTTGAGACGTATGGCTGTGTACATGTGCAGGTTGGTTCGTAAATCAACATACTCTTCTCTTGATAGATATAAAAAGAATTTAATTTAATGTAAATCACTCCATCGCAGTTGAATGTTTGTGCGTCGGTCTGGCTGTCTCTGACATTCATTTAGTTATTTTATCACTCTTAACATCAGCGTTCCACAAACCACTGTAGATATTCGGGTTTCTAACGGAAATCCTATCTTTTTACTGAACGTAGTGTTGATTTCCATGCTCACAGAAGAAAAAGAAGAAGAACAAATCTTAGTAACAAAAATATTTTCAACTTCACATCATCATCTTTAATATAAACAATTTTCGAAGGTTGGAAAAAATAAATTTTTTCAAGAATACTTTTATCAAAGTTAGGTTCAATTTGCTTTAACATTTTCCTATGATCCGCTGCCGTTTGAAACTTAAGCTATACAATGTCGCTCAATCTGTTTCATAGTCACCTTAAAGGTTTCTATCCTAGTTTCTATTTCCTAGGTCACACTACCAGCACAACTTGATAAAGCTATATTTTCCGGTATACCGATCTCGGATGTCTCGGATGTTGACATTTTTCCATTGTGAAATCTACTTCTCTCTTTTTTACTTCCAATCCAATAAATATTACTGCTATCAATAAAATGTGTTAAAAATTTTTTGAGAAATTTTCGTAAAGTTATCGCACACAGAACCAAATTTTTTGTGCTGTTTTCCTTGTCCTAGTGCAGACATTTCAACGAAATATTGAGAAACGCTGCTTGAAAACTTAAGGTAATTTTTTTTTTATAGTTTTTTATGGCAGAAGTAGAATCTTTTATTTTTAACAAAATATTTGTGACATTTTTGTAACAATCCTAGACAAAAGCTTTTAAAAACTACAATTAAAAAAACTACAATAAAAAAATGTTGGACCAAAACGTTTACAACACTGTATGTTTTCAATAACTTAACAAACCCTGATTATTTAAAGGGAAATATGATAGCGTTTAACAGGTAGCTTTAAGGCTTAATGCATGTATAAAATTCTTTTTAAATCTGTTTTCATCGTTAAGTAGTACACTTCCATAAAGTTTATGTATTTATTCTTATCGCATAAAAGAACAGTAATTTTATTACTCATATATAGTGCTCGATAAAATAAACAAAAAAAAACAATATATTGGTGCTTAGTTAAAGTAAAATACAGAAGCAGCATAATAATGTTCCTCTATCTGTCGCCTACTGTGGGAATATTTAACTGCTTAGTTTAGATATGCAGACTAAGTCTAAAAGTGGGCGTATCGATCGACAGTTCCAAAGAACAAAAGCAAACTTGAAAATATAATATATCAAAAAAGTTGGAAAATTTGGAAAATCTCGACATCAATCGTCCGATCGATCTGAAGTACAATGCAATTCCCGACAAAGCGCAACATATATTGGTAGTAGAAGCTTCAATTTTTTTGAGCTACAAAGATTTTGCTTTCCACCAATCGAAGAAAGTCAAGCAAACATTCATCGACCTATCCCACCTTTCATTTATTTTTTCTTTCCTTCACTCTCAAGATGTGCTGCGTTTAGTAAAATTTTCTAAATCGTGAAAGCGAGCTGATTGTTAAGCGGCGGCGGTATTTGTATCGCAAACTGCTTAAGTGTAAGTTAAGTATACGAAACTGTTTACAGTTGCGATCAGATATATAAAGAGAGAAAAAGTGATGTTGTTTGTTATATGCGAGAAGACTAAAATAAATTGAAATCCCAATCGCTAACCCGCCAGCTGCAAGTAATTTTGGGAAAAGAAAAGTTTGGCTTTTCCACTTGACTTATGTAAGTCTAAGATATCCTATTTAGCATAGTGTATGTTGAAAGTAGTTAGCAGGTGTTATTGGAATCAAACACATTCCAAGTGCTAAGCATGTGAACAATAAGCATGGAGTGTGATAAATTTGATACCTAGCCTGCGGTAATAAATAATCGGAAAGATTATCTTGCGCTATTAGTGATTAGTGTGCAACGATTTAGAATTAGATTTGTACTCTAAGAAGCAAGTTGGATGTATACGGTCGAACTTTCATAGGGCAGCTACTTATCGACGCCTAACAATGTCTTTGCGATAGCGCATTGCCCTCCATTTGTACAACTTTCACAATTATTTAACCAATTCCTTCCTTTGCGATCTGCGAAAGCTTATTAATGATGAACAAAGCGTTGAGAGTAGACAAGACGAATGAGGAATCTTAACACACGATGATAGAAATTTTAAAGCAGAGCAATAATGTGAGTTGATTAACAATTTTTGAGCACTTTAGAGCAATCGGCGCTGTTTTAGTCTAGATTGTTTTGGCTGAACCGAATACCACTTCAAAGTGGCATAAATAAGATATGTCGGTTTATAACCATTACAATAGATTATTAGTCGATAAGCAGAGATGACAGAAAAGCCTTAGTGCAATCTCAGCCGAAACAACTGATTTTCGGCTGCGACCTGGCTTTCGAAAGCGGACCAGGTCGACTTTTAGACAAAGTTATTCGAGTCAGCTTCCGTTTTTCGTTCGCTCTTGTTTCTTGCGTGGACAACCGGTACAATCAAACCGATAGAATCAATAAAGACACCAAAATTTCTGAGCCACAGTCAAGCCATGGTTGCGAAAAACAAATGAAGCTCACAGACCTCGAAATGAATTAGAACAAAGCTTTTACCCAATTAGTACTGAAGATCACAAACTTTCTGTCGAGAGAAAACTTGGACGCATGCTCACACAAGTTGTCTCCTGCTTAATCAATATGATATGAAATCCCTATCGATATGGATATATTTTATTTATTAAAATAACCCACTAAGTAAGTCATAGTTTTTCAACCCAACTGAATGCAATGAAATACTTCATTAATAAATGCACCTGTAATATTGATGAAAACGAAAAAAAAAAAAAAAAAAATAGCTCTAAACGAATTTAAGTCAATATTATGATTGGAATAACATAAATTTAAATAAATGAATGAAAATTAAAGCATTACAGATCGAGTAGAATATTCCGCAAGCCAAAATCCTTTATAAAAACGATTCAAAAAAAAAAAAAACATTTTTGGTTTTTTCTTTTTTTTTTTTTTGCATATGCTTATCCAGCCATGTGTTAACAATAAGCGGTTCAGCATTACGAATTTGTAAAAAAGTTGAATATATTCAATTTAAAATTTTATTAAAAAAAGAAAAAGTTTACCTTTAAAAAAAATAAATCGCCAGAAGGCATTAGTATGCGATGTGAACCGGAATCGGTTTTCAGTTCATGGCCATCTTTAAACCATTGTATTGAAGGTGTGGGATTGCCTTCAGCTTTACAATTAAATGTAAAGGGATCATTTTTCGGTACTACCATATCCATGGGATGTTCAATGATACGGGGATTTTGTGCTGCAGAAAAAAGAACGAATAAACGCATATCATTATCAGGTTGTTCTTTGTTTTCGAAAGTTAAAATAGTTAAAAAGTATCTTATCATCAATTGTATTGAAATTTTATGACATCAATAACAATATAAGGCTGCAGATGGTTTTCTAAAGGAACAGTTAAACGTTAAACACTCTAAATTCCTGAACTCATTTTCAATTAATTTTCCTTCTTTTTTTTTTATTATATGATCTCCTTTCAACACAAACACACCACCACTCACTACTTATAACGTTGTTTTTTTTCTTTTTTTTTTTTGCTTCATTTTCTTTCGTTTGAAATTCTTTTCATGCTTAGATAAGACCTTTTGTGTTGTCTTTAGCGGCTGCCTTACGCTCTTATTTACTACATACATATTATATTATACTATACGTACTTATGTATATGTATATGTATATATATATATATATATATATATATGTATATATAAAGTTTTCTTTACTTCGAGTAACGTTTATTCAAGCAAGACTAGCACTTTTTAGGCTTATCCACGGCGCGCTTTACGGTCTTCTTACTATTAAAATGTGCACACAACAATAATAGCAACAATGAAAAATTGTAACAGCCGACAAAAGGTATTAATGCTATTATTTTCGATTTAAAAACCATAACTGAGCTGCTGTTAAACACTGTTCAAGCATCTGAATGCAAAGTCATTATTTACTTTATGCTCTATGCTCTATGCCATCATCATGCCTAACAATGTCCTTTTGTTCTCTTTTTCGTCTTTTCGTTTGTTCCATCATCGGCCATATTTTGTTACATTAAGCACCTATTCAAACTAACTTTTGGGTAAAATGAAAATTATTGCATTATTTTTTGATATTTATGATAATTTATTTTAGATTATGTGCTCACTGCTCTCTCTCTCTTTCTCTCTCTCTCTCACTCTCTCTGTCTCCGTCTAATCCTGTTTAACCAGGCTTTTTTTATTGAAAACTTTTCAGAGCCGATTTTATTGCTTAAAAAAAAAAAAAAAAAAAGAGTAAAATATCTAAAAATGTTTAACACATGGGTTTTCTATGAGAAGAATTATAGGTAAATCTTTCGATTTTTTGTACAATTTATATAAAAAATAATAAAAAATCACTTCGTTTAGTGAACATGTTTGCGTCCATTTAAATAACCATTAAATGCTATGAAAATCTAATTATCACCCTCAAGGGTGTGATTTTAAAATAAGAGATACGGTATGCTTGTTATAGCTTTTTGTTTTTTTTGTTTTTTTAAGCTTTTGTACCCGTTTGTCGGTAGATTAAATGTTTCAAGTAAAGGACGGAAATTAAATTTCTGCAAAATTTATTGCAAACGGATGAAACTATTATTGTTTTTTTTTTCGTCTTTGTTCAAGTGCAATTCTAGAAAGACGATGCCGGCAAGATGGGAATCACGTTTATTTATATTATATGCGATATGGAGAGGAGATAAATGCTCCCTTTTTCATTTACTTATTGTTTATTTAATATCTCTCTCTTTCTGATGCATTCATTTCCGATTCTTTTGAACGAATATTGATTTGGTAACCATTTAAAGATTTTGAACATCACGAGCTGGAAATTGCACCTTGAAGCGTACTTGAACCGCACTTGAGGCCATTCTTGAAGATCATAGATGTCTTAAAACACTTTGTATATCTTCTAAAGATAAAAGTTTCAGAAATAAAATTTTTCTCGAGACAGGATCTTTTGAAACGGCAACAATTTTTATTCGAATTTTTTACAATATTTTTAAATTAACATTTTGTAGTGAAGCAGGGAGAAATTTTCAATATGTTAGCCGAAGCTATGCTTATGAAAAAAAAATTACATTTTCCTTGGTCGAAAGTTGAAGATGTTTCAAATTCGAATTCGAATTTGGCTTCAATTTGGCTTATGCCCAGTAATCCCACAGCTACCTATATTTTTTTAATTCTCCCCGTTAGTCGACTTGATGTTAGGATGCAGATTAAATTTTTTTTTTCTTTAAATTCATCTTTGCAATAGTTACAGTGCAGATGATTTGCTGTGTTCAGAACGACACTCTGCATCCATTTAAGCTTGTCTGTCCGTCTGTCCCTCTATGTGTTGTTTTCCTGTATTCAGTTTACAATTGTCGAGATATTTTGATGGAATGTAGTACACTAACGTGTACTACATGCGACCCAAGATGAAACCTATTGAAAATGGCTCGGATCGGTTCAATCTTGCGATCACTTCCCTCACTTTGAAAATTCGTTATATGAATACTTGTAGGATGATTCAAGGTATCTATTGATGTGTTGTAGCGCACTATAGTATTTTTACTTATTTATTTAAAAAAAATTTCTCAGTGAAAAACTTACGATTTTATTGGAACATTCGCCAGTTACACAAAAAATTTTCCAAAAATCCGAAGTATTTCTCTAGACGTAGAAGGGTAGGTAAAATATTCTTTTTCTTTTTTTTTTTTGAGTCAAATTCGTAAAAAGAACACCTAGACAGTAGAGCGCCTTTGGCTGAAAATGAGTTAAGTAACTGCCACCAACCCGCGAGAGTTCACTTTTTTAAATTGCAGAAAAAGCAAATTTTCTACATTTCCAATGCACATACTACAGAAGCACATACTAATATCTTAGTCCAGTTAATTTCAAATAAATAAAAAAACGTCTTACGAGAATCGGTTCCCTGTTTCCTTTTTTTAATATTTTTAGTATGCCGCTACCTCTGCTTCTCCCAAAAAAACCGTCTAAAAACTTTTTTCTCAAGGCTGTTTCAACGGTCCCACTCCTTAATAGCCATTATGCTGTCAGAATTTTATGGAAAATTCCAAAAGGCTCTTTTTTACTCTCTTCAGTTTGAAACCGAGAAGAGATAAATGCTTCGCTTACAAATAATAAAAAAAAGCTCTTTATTCAAGGCTATTAGACGTCGCCAACTTGTCTATGTATGTATTATGCAGAGCATGTATTATATAGAGCACCGGTGCTTTATTTTATGTATACTATGTGCGCACACGTAAAAAGAAACATAATGACATCTAATAATTTTAAATGATAAGCTTAACATATATATATATATTCATTTTAATGAATATAATAATAAATATATGTATTGTATATGTATATGAAGATGTCAAAAATTTGTTAAAGATCATGTACGAATACACGCTATATTGATAACATTGGCCAATTTATTTTATATAAAAATTCTTAAATAAATTATTTTTAACTGTTTTTTTCCCCTTCCTTTTCTTTCCTTTAACATCATAAAACCGCACACAAAAAATTTTTACCGCAATCCTATTATAATAATACTTCACTAGTCTTATTAACTTTGTTAGTTGTTTGTATATACATGTATACGTAGAAACTAGATGCTTTTGGGTTTGTGTCTGTGCATGTGTGCTCAGAAACTAATATATTTTTATGAAGTTTTAATGCAACTTATGAACTCTCATATAAAGAACCAAAAATCATGGAGGGAGAGCGAAAAAGAACTAAAAACCATTTGAAAAAAACTTAGTATCTAACTTACTGTCTATTAGGAGTTTGCGGTAAGAACAATATATTTTGAAAAATTAAGCGTAATTATGTTGTCGTTTATTTGCTTAGTTGCACACCACTTTTCTCGAAAGCTTACAGTGAACATAATTAAATGGAAATATGTGTGCAGCAAACAAGAAAGGTATTATGTGTTGATAACAAAAACAAAGAGAAAAAATCATTTTAATTAATTAAGAAAAAGCAAAGCAAAAAAGAAAAAAAAAAAATAATGGAATTTTCTTTCTTTTTTTTTTCAATGTAGAAAACAAAAAGGAAAAATTCAGTTGACGTGCAAGAGATTTTTATAACATTAGCTTGAATTTTATTGTAAATTGGTTTCTAATACGAAGCCTTGCTCGTTCAGACGGCGTCTGCATCGTCGAAGCGGTACCCTTATACCAAGTCACTCTCAGTTAATATCATTTTTCAGCAGAAACATTAAAAAGTATCATATCATAAAAGAAGAAAATTTTATTACTGTTCCGACGACAAAAGCACAAAAATAAAATTATTTGGAAAAAGAATCTCATAAAAAGCATTAGATAACTGTAGCCGTTATCGTTTGTTTATCTAGAAATGAGCTGAAATCACTTTAAGTTTAATTTTTTTTTTTTTTCTTAAAGCCGTTGTGGTTTATCCCTTTTGACTTGAAGCCATTTGCTTCATTAGTTGTTAATTTGGTGTTGCTTTTTGGGAATTTAAGTTACAAACTGCCGAAGGGTTGACATTTGTTTTGTGTGTTAAACGGACAAGGAAAATATGTAGAAACCAAAACAAAAAAGAAAAGCGTTCATATTCAGATAAATATTTTCCCTAAGGTTAGGGAGAAGAGAATAACTAAATAAATTGGATTAGTTCAAGCAACATATTTTATAAAATTAAGGGGATATTGATTGCACAAAGTGCAACATAGACATAATTCCCTTTAGGTTATATCTGAACAGTGTTGTATGCCTTATGTCCGAAATTATGGTTTACATTTAAAAAAAATAAATAAATAAAAAGAGCATTTTGGATTAACGGATATGCTGCCATTTCGTTACTAGGCACTTAGTTAATGAATTTCTTGATTGCGCTTTAGTCCAAAGAGAATTGCAAAATGAAAGCAACTAACATTCAAGGGGAGTAATAAGAGTCTGTAGATGTCGGCGCAGTATAAAAGTGGTTCGGGAATAGCTAATTTAAATACCCATAAAGAGTGTTCCTATCACACAGGTTATTATCATTCTGAAAGCTCTTACTACCATTTTGCCGTTAGCCTGCGTCTGCAGGGGTTGTCAAAGACACTCATGGCTCTTTGCTTTATAGCTACGGTTATTTGAAAGAGTGTTATTTTTCAAGTCACGGGTCAATCAAATGGACTTACCCTATACTTTGCAACTCAGCGTGAATGGACGTATGCTTTTCATATTTCGCTCGTCGCAGATCAATGAATGTAGCCTAGAAACTTTGCAATTTGTGCCCT